ATTGATTTCTAGCAGCAGCCTTTAATAGCTAAGAAATCTCAAGGCTAATTTGCAAATCCAGCTGATTGTAATAAAAATAATAAGAAAGACCAAAGGGATTTCAATTATTAAGCATATTATATTCGAAAATCGTATTTTCTAATTTACAAATTATACGATACGTGTACTTTGCTGTAGCAATATATTTGCGTTCATAAATATTACACGTGGAACACTTCTGAAGTCGTTCGACGCGATCTGCTGAATAAGAACATTTCCGTTCCTCTTTCGGTATAAGATTTCTCAGCGTCGCGTCCTCCTTAAGAATCATTAGTCTGAAGAAAAGATTACGTTCTCTTTCTCGAACGCTCTAATTGAATCAACAGCCAAGTTATTTTAACTCGCGCGTATCCCCGGCGCTTTTTCGCCTCTATTGTCCAATCAATATAAAAAAAAAAGGACTGCGAAAATCGCCGCTCAAATTTCCACGGAAGATGCGATCGAACCGGGGGTTCATTGTTCCCAACGACCGTCGAATTTCGAGTGTCGTTACCGGGAATGTGTTGTAAAAGTTTACAGCGTATATCCAGTGCCGCAATCCCGGAGACGTCCGCTCGCCGTTTAATCGGCGACGCGGAGTAGTCACGTCGTCGCGGACGCGCGTCCGCGTGCTGAGGAGATCTCGATTGCCAACTTGGGTGGCTCGTTCTCCCACGCTTCTTCCCCGCCTCCCTCTCGCGATATGCGGAAGTGGAGGAGCCGGCAGGGGAGGAGACGACTTTACGACCGTTCGTTCTCGCGCGCGATATCGTTCGTTACCCCTCTGCTTCGTCCTCCGCCGGGTAGGGTCTCTCCCGCTGATCTCCTTCGGAAGTCCTTTCCGCGTTTAACGAGTGTCACCCCGGATGTCCTCCAGGTGTCTATTTTTACGACGCTTCGGAGATCAGGCTGACACGGGTGGGCGAAGGGGGATGAAAACGGCACGGAGCGGCGATTACGATCGGAGAATTTCTTCTTTTATGTCCGTTCCTTCTCGCCTTGTAGCGCGCTTCTCGGGCTCTCTCTCTCTCTCTCATCTTCCTTTTTTTCACGCGGAAGCTCCTCGACTGATCTCTCCAGCGAGAGTGACACTAAGAGGACAGGTCGTCGGGGATTCGGAGATCCTTCCGGCGGGATCGCTACTTGTGTACACGGAATACACCCCGCGCACAGCGGAACCTGGGATTATTGGGGTGACGTGGGCGGATTGCTTGTAAGAGCGGTCAATAAGTGCACTTTAACTCGCGAAGAACGACAAGCCCTCGACCTCGTCGCGCGGGGGTCGTTAACTCTTGTAAACTTTAATCCTTCAGGGTAGGATTAATCGCGGAGACGAGTTCGCTTCAAGTTTGTGGAATCTAGAATGGGTTCTTCTACAATTTCTCATAATCCGCGGGAGAGACGCTAAACAGATCCTCGTACGCCATCTCACCGTCAATGCGAGCCTCCCCTCGGCGTTCCTTCGCCCCGACGAGAAATAGAAGAGGAGGCACGCACTCCGCGACGATAACGAAACGGGGATGTGTGGGGGTGGCACACGGGATTCGCGCGGGGCGCAAGATGTACTTATCGATTTATTTATTTTGTGATTAAACTTGAAGCAGCGCGTCGTAATAATTTATGGTTTTAGACGTGCCACTCCCCTCCGCCGCCGCGCCGTGTGCATTGTGGGGGTGCGCGCTTATGTATTTGCCGCGGGGTGTAAATTACCGTTCGCGCTGTAATTAATTACCAGCGGGCCCGAGTATAAGCGCAAGAGACGATCGATTATTCCGCGCTGATGCGCTCCGACACTTTATCGCGCCGACACTTTTCCAGCCGCGTCGGCACGGCCGTCTTAATTAGAGAATCGACGTAATCGCGTCGCCTTCTTCCCGGGCAGCTCAGTGCGTATCGCTGACTCTCCCCTCGTGCTTAATCCCGCCTAGCGTTGCGAAAAGAGCGGATATTATCAATAACGTTCGTCAAGAAACGATTGCGTCACTTCAATTGCGTAACTGCAACTTTTTATTTTTACGCAAATGATATTTTATTTGTTACTTGTTAGCGATCGAATCAAATCGCCCACGATAATTGCGGCAAATTATGATAAATGACAATGTCGCGCCCGACCAACTTTTCTTTGGAATTAAATTTTGATAATGGAGCCCCTCTAATCAGAGTCTGGCCAGCCTCGGCAAAATGATGCGAGAGAGAAAGAAACATATCCCCTCTCACTCTGCACGCGTTTCCGATTGTTCATTTTTCCGATCACGTTTTCCGATTAAATTATGGATACGTCCGATGAAATTTATCCGATGCAGTTGACGATTACATTTTTCTCAGTGCAGTTGCGCTACTTCTACGATATCTGCAGCGTTCAAGAAATTATTCCGCGTTCAACAATGGCAATGAATCAAAGACGTAGCTCAGTAATAAACGGTAAGATGATCGGGAACGAGAAACCGTGTCGGCATGCACGAGCGTTACCTATGACCCTGTTTCTGTGATATGTCCGCTTCGCAGTTGGAATTCACCGTTCAACGTGCATCCCATACCAAGTCAGATGTCAACACTTTGAACGTGTGAATCCTAAACTAACGTCGAGCCATAAACTTTAAAGTGACACCGAACTCTGTGGCCGACTCTATTTTAAAATGACAAATGACCGGGGGATTATTTTCAAAACTCCGAAAACAAAACATTTCGCAGAAAGTTATTTTATAAAAACTGGATTAATTGCCGAATTTCTAATTGTTCCTGCAATCTACGCTAAAAGCGCGCAATTACGTCATATTGTATTCATGCTTTCGCGTTTCATTCTTTCGGCGCTCTTCTCGGCAGTTCTATCTTTCTAAATTAAACGGCTACACTTTTACTCTCGTTTAGCACTGAATGCACGATCGAAACAGCGACAGTTTTGTTGAACCATTATTTTAAAGAAGTTGCTGTAATAACAAACTTACGTACTGATTAATGTGACGAAGAACTTACTTAATGCATAGAGCGTGTTCCTGCTTTGTATACATTATCGAACAGTTATTAGTCAACTTGTCATTATGATTAGAGATATATTAAATTTCGTTTAACGAAATCGTAAATAAAGATTCAAGCGTGAACCTAATATAATACTTTTCTTTTACATCTCGGAAACATCACAGGCAAGCGTGCAGGCTCGTACGCTATTATTATCATTGTTACGCCGAAACCAATTAGAATCATTAAAATCGAGGATATGAAATTATTAACGAATGATTACAAGGAAACATAATTGGCTACATGATATTCGGGTTACGGTGAAATATGAGTATCAAGGAATTCATTCAGAATACACAGACCATTGCTATTTAACAATATAATGCAAGGTAAATTTAACTGCGAGCTAAATTTAATCATCTTTGCATAATACAACATATCATTATGCAGAGCGCTTTCCCGCGAAATTCGCTAAACTTTTTGCAAGTATTAATTAGGGAAAGTTCTGATCCTAATTCTACCCTGATATAAGGCTTATGGGGAAGAGAGCGAATAAGCTCTACTGTTTTTAGAATATCCTGTGTATAAATAAATTCAGTTTACATTGTGCCCACCTCGCGTATCTCAGACGCTCGTAATTTGCACTGTTTGACTCTGTCTGTTTGAATCTGTTATTATTCCAACGATATATATATATATATATATTTTATATATGTGTGTATATAGTCATCTTGCCAAATGCGTTCGTGAAACATGCGGTTTCAAAGGAATCTCAGGTAACTCGATTTTACGAGAATGCCGAGTTCCGCGAGTGTAATGCGATTCAAAGCTTATTCTAAAATATCAACGGTAAGTGAATATAAGTTCATCAGAGCATGGACTGCACAGCGGTTTGCGTGTTACATTTTGAGTTCGGCGTACCCGAATCTACTAATGTACGTATCCACTAATGCATGTCTATTGAATGCCTCTCACAGTGATGAACGTTAATTATCATTTACGGTAATGATATCGAGCAGCGGAGGCCTCGAACGCATTTCAAATCTAGATCTGATTTATCGCGATTCCGTATTATTATCATTGCCGAAATATTGAAATTAAAAAAAAATTATAATAAAAAGGGGATGATCCTCCCCTCTCCTGTAATTTTTAATTATAGAAAATCCCTTTGCGAAAATTGAATTTCTCATTTATTTTTCATATCTCTGATTAAAAAATTCTCGATACGGAAGTTGAAAAACATAATTTTTTAATTCGCCTTTCAGAATCGACGTTCAGAGCGGAATCTCGCGGGTAAGAAATCGCTCGCGAAGAATCCTCGGAAATGTACTTACATTGTTTCTGCCCGTCTTCCCTGAGGATAATGTTGCGGCCGTCCTCTCGTTTCCAAGTGACAATAGGCTTCGGCGAACCGGTGGCGACGCATCGCAATCTTATATTGCCTCCTTCGTGAGTGACCATACCGTCCGCGGACTCGTCGTCCATTATATCGGGCGGTATCACTACTTCCATGTATCCCATCTAGAACAAGGAGACGTCAAAAGATCGTCGCGCATCGCGAGCAACTTCGGACTTTCGGTTTAAGCCTTTATTATTACAATCTTGCTATATTATAACCGGATTTCTTTTGAAAAGTGAGAATATACACAAACGATAATAATGAAATTGTTGAGATTTTAACGAAAACCAAATTACCTCGCCAGTTTCTGGCAGAATTCTATAGTATGTTATATATAATTTAACTACAGCGTCAATTAACATCATTAATATTTAAACTTCCCAATTATATGTCATGTCGGGACTATTCGAATTTTTATTTAAAATCGCTCTCTAAATTATATATCAAGGTATATCGAATATTACAAAAGAGATTCTGTTATCGCGCTCTTTGTACAGCAGCAATCTGAATCATTTCATTATTAAAACTGTTCGCAGCAAAAGGATAAGAACGGATTAATTGCATTTTGATGTACTATGAACGCGAAGATCAAAGAGTTAGAAAGAATTTCTTCCTGCGGAGTAAACAGCTCGTAGAGAGAGGGTCATACTAAGGCCGTCTGGGCAAAGACAAGGCTCGAACTACTCACCGGAAAAAAAGTACATTGTTTTACCGTCCCGAGCACGTACACGATGAGGGTATCCTCGCACGGGTATAACGTGCAGGGGTATAGAATTTACTGGACCTGCAATAGTGCACGTAGCCTATCCAATTCGATGAAACGAACATGCAAGGAAATTTATGGTTTTAGACGAAATAAAATAAACACCGGCACGAATTTGCTCCTTTTATCACGCGAGTTTGTTATTTTTTATTTAGTAAAAAAAAAAACGTGACTCGTCCTCTCATTACTGCGCATAGTTTGCCAGGATGAGCTCTGCGTCCGCCATAATAATATTTTAATGTTGCAGTAAAATATTATTAAAATTTCCGCAGTAAATATTGCTATAATAGTAATATAGTCCAAAACGTGCAAACGTAAAATGTTTACATATTTTGTTCCGTATAAACGTGCGACTAGATAAAAAATAAAACCCCTGATAATTAACGAAATTTGAGCTCCAACCGTGTTTAATTAGAGAGTAAAAATTTATGGTTTTACGATGTACTCGTAGTTGTAAGATAACAACGTGGAAGCAACGATATTTTTGTTACCTCACATCCCTCAATAACCCTTTTATGCAAGAGCACTTAAAAAGAAAGTAATTGAAAGCTCTTCTTAATTATAAGAGCATAAAAAGTAATACTAATAAAATTTAATCTTATTAGTTAAAAAATAATTTTGCATCTGAAAAATGTATAATTACAACATTTTTTAATAATCGAATTTACAATATTTTCTGACGAGTTGATCTTTAAATACGAAAGGAATCAAATTTTAACTGTTTTATAGTTTTCGTGGCATAAGTGCAAGTCTTAATTAATCTGAGAAATTTAAGATAAGATATTTGCAAAAGCAGTGTTTTAATTTTGCAAAAGTTCAAACGGAACACGTATGTACAATTTGTAGAGATCGACGATAAATCCGGCATAATAATATGCGCAAGACCAGACGATATTTATTAAGTCGTGTTTGACGCGTTCAGCATTAACTTCATCACCGTCAGGCCGGAAATATCGTGTCGTCACCTTTCGAGAGACGTCAGTCGGCATAAACCGTGCTAAAGTGTCACGTGGCTGTGTAAAAAAGATGTCGTTTTACGTCCCTGGGCACGTACCGGCGGTCGCCGGTGTGTTATGGGTTAATGTGAATGTAGGTCAAATTTACTGGTCGTGGTACGGTGCACATGTCCCGCGGAATTCAATGCGACCGGCAGAGCGGGAAACCTTCCGATGCAATATACGGCCCTGCGGCGAGATAAAGGGCCCAGAGTGCTCGTCGCGGTGCAAGCAAGACAAATGATAAGTGTGAGTGGGATAGCACGAGCGCGTGTACGTGTGTATGTGTGAAAAAAGAGAATAGGATGGAGAGGATAAAAACTGAATGGGAGGAGATCCGGGATCAGAACATTTTCTAAGAACAATCGGATATTATGCGTAGGTATATAAGTCGGTGTTTAGTCGGTTAATGTAACTGAAAGTAGCCACGTTAATTTTACATTTAGCATCTCATCTAAATTAGCCAAGGGGAATTTTTTAAACGAGACAAAAAGCTACTCAAATTTCTTGTCTTATAAATTAACAATTTGTTCAATATTTCAGACTCAAAGAAAAGGTGTGGACGGTTACATTTAGAAACGAACAACTCAAGGGGGTAATCGCTTCATGTAATCGTGGGACAGTGTCTCCGAAATCATTATGAAATCCTTACGAAATCCCCGTGTAACCGTTTTGTCTTCATTTTCAAGTTTCTTCGCTTGTAGACAATAAACATAGTTAGACAATAAACATAAAATTTGAACATTTTCTCAGCTCGTTTCCATTTTCCAAAAAATTGACTTCTTTTCGTGAATATCCAAATATATATCATAGTTCACGCCTATAGGCGCGTATTCTTTTCAAAATAAGACTGAAGTAGTTGCCATTAGAACAACAGCGAGTTGGAACGTTGGTGCACCTTTGCGCGCGCATTTGGAACAATAAACAGTAAATACAAATACAAAATTACTTTTCGTTAAAACTACGGTTAGACCAGTGGGAAAAGTGGGGAGCAAGGAAACACGTGACCAAATACTAGAATCTTAACTGAAATTACCTCCACAAGCAAATACTTCTTAGTAAAATAAAAAATATATATTTCTAGGAAATCTAACATCTTTTTGAGGTTCAACAACGTTACGTATCTTTAAACGTGCATATAAGGAAATTATTTGCAATTAGATGAGATTATTTGTAATCGGATGAAATCGCATGAAAATTCGATGAAATCGTGTAATCGGTGGGACAACATTTTAGCTAGTGATTATCCCCTTGGAACAATTGCTATGTTGTTGCGAAGTTACGTTTATATACCGAGGGTACGTTTGGAAATGATTTTCTCAGAAGCTGAATTCAGTAATAGCGTCCAGTACTGACAACAGTACTGGGAGGAAACGGGAACGCACCCCCGTATGCACACCTGCCGCGCTTCTACGTCGGCAATAATTTTCCGTGCGCCTTTCCGAATGCTCGCGGGGCTGTGCGCTCCGCCGAAAATCTGCATAATTAAAACCACGCGACATCGGCAATTCCGTTCCCTTACCACTTCACTAACCGCCACTATTTTCAGTTTGCGTGAATACTGCGTGTTTATCGAACCCTCCCTTCCTCACCCTCTCTTCTTTTTCCAACCCGGAAATGTACGACTGACAAGTAGAAATAAAAATTACCTCGAGGTAATATACGTAAGAATGTGTTTCCGTTTGTCTGAACTTTCTTTCTCCAATGCTCCGCGTGTACTTATTTGTAGCGACGTACAAAGACGTCTGTTTTTTTCTTTTCATGAGAGCGAAAGGACCTGTTGAAATCAAGAATGTAGAGAGGCTTTTGGAAGCTAGTTTTAAGAACCCGAGTTAAGCTGCGGTCCGACATTGACAGCTTGAGATCGTCTGCTTTAAATAACGCAAAGGTCCACGCTTCTCGGCTCTGAATTGCAGCTGCAGCGGTAGGCCGATATTACAACCGATATTGCACCGCAAAATAATGGTCGGAGGGCCGAAGAAAAAGCGCGCGTTAAAAAGTTATGGTCGGGCTTGTGTATGGAATTTTAAAAATTCCGCCGGACGGATCCGACGAAATTGCGCGAAACCTCGATCTTTTTAATCGAATTACGTCGCGCGGCGCGACACGGCGCTTTGTCGATGGAAATCGATAGAGCCGCGCGTGTAACGACCGCGGCTCCGACGCGGAAGCGCCGTCGAAAAATAAAGCGTCGGGTGGAAGGTAAATGGAAATTAATTTAACAGAGATACGTTGTTATTGCGGACGCGCGTTGCAGCGCGTTTCAACGCATCGGATTAATACCGTTTGAAGCGACATTTGCGGTATTCCAAAAAATGCGGGTACCCGTGTCATTAAAAAAAAAAAGTGTAGGAAATGATGAGAAGCTGCGTGAGTAAATATGGAAAAGCGTGTAGCGTCGTAGAAAAAAAAGGAAACGCGTCAGCGATATTTAATTACATTGCAGTACGTTGTTGCGCAGCGTTGTTGCCTTTCAACGTTCGATTTGAGCCCGCGAAACGCTTGGGATAGTTGACTTTAGGGTCTCACCTGACTGCGCATAGGATCGGTATTGACTTGACACATGTAGGTACCGGAGTCGTTCTTCTGGACATTCGACACGTGCAGTTTCCACGTGTTGTGTCCGTTGTGCGTGACGGATAGCCGGTTATTGTGCGCCACCATGTGCGTGTGTATCGCCAGAATCGCTCGGGAATCCGATTTTATCCAGGCTACCTGAAACATCGGAAGAGGATTTTATTTCTCGAAATTTATGTCTCGAAAAACGGGAATTACGATTAACTGGGTGTTTTGCGAAAAGTAAAAAAAAATACGGCTGGCCGCTTGAAAATCTATGCGATCGAAGAATAAAACAAATTCAGTGCATTAACTAACTTATTATCGGAGTATAATTAACTTTGCGATTAAATTTAATTCGTTATTAAAATCTAATGAAAAAATAATACAAAAATAACGAAGAATAATGAAAGATCGAGGGATAATTGAGGAGAGATAAAAATGTATGAAATTCTCGTCAGATTAAATGTAAATATAAAAATTTGTCTAAAATTAGTCTACAGCGCGCGCATCGCCGCCCGCAGTAGTCACAAACGGACATAGTCAGACTCGCGGAAGAAACGAATATTCGCAAATAAAATTGAACGTGAAAATGCGCAAATGTAGATCCGTCGACGGTCATAATTTTCCCTCCTGCTTCGGTAAAAGTACAAACTTTCGCGGAAATATGTTATATTTATTATACATTATACTTGAAGAGGAGATTTAAAAAACACTGCGCTACATCTCCTGGTACATAAATCTCGACGTACGTTTTATAATAGACGTACATTGTACTTTTACGTTTTTTTCAACGTTCTCTTTTAATATTCAACGCGCTGCGATTCTCATTCATTGTTTTTTTTTCTTGCGACGATGCATGGGGAGGAATTATTTGAAAAGGGAAGCCATACCTTGTACGATTGCAGATGATTAACGACGCAGGTGAAGAAGACGTCACGACCTTGAATCACCGTGTGATTTTCCAAAGGGGCTAAAAACTCGGGCAAAACTTCTGGGGTGATTTGGCCTGAAACATCACAGCAATGTGACACGTTTAATCACTTTACGTCA